ACAGTCTTGAGTAGATATCTAGGTCTGTCTGCAGGGGGGTTGGTGCTGTGTCATTATAGGCTGGCTGTTGGTTTCTATGAGCAATGGAATAACACCAGATCTCCTTTTTTCTCGCTGCTTTATGGATAAGACAGAGCTCCATGGCTTTTACGTCAGTGGTCCTATAAGTCAAGTGCTTATTAGCTGGTTTTAACCCGCATGGAAGCACTTAGACTTCCACATTGGTGAGCTTAGTCTCATTGGAAAACACACCTGAATGGCAGAAATTTTAGACAATGACCTGTATGCAGGCTCATGAAATTAAATGCAGAACGCAATTTGGGGATATCTGACCCAGCTTTTTTGGTCTGTCAGGGTCTCCCCTGCTGAAATAAAACAAAGAGACAACACATTTATTTTGTCTCTTCTGTAAAGCTCACTGGTAGCACAGACCATGTTTATGGAAACTGATCATGAAAAACTATTTCACCACAGCTACCGGATCATTCGGCTCTAATTAAGGTAAGAAGATGATAAACTACAATAGCGTCCTCAAGTATGGTTAAGTCAGAGCCTAAAAATCAATCTGCAGACTGTAGTATAAAAACACCAGGACTCATTCGCACAGTTGTAAAATAAAACCAAATAAGATAAAATAATAAAAAAAAGCACGCAGCACAATAAATGTGTAAAAACAAGCAGCTTCGTTCGTATTCTAAGAGATCTGATCGCAAGACATTGTTTTCGTTGTGTCTCATGGAGCTAATGGAAATATGAATTCATAAATGCTTCAGTTTTGATTAAAAACGCGGTGGGTTTTCAGTCTCTGTACGTCTCAGCTTAGACTGGAGCATTACCAACACTACACACACACAGCCATGGCCTCAGAAGCATTTACAATGAGAGAACACACTGGGAACGAGTCTTTTAATGCGTGACAAGGATGACATTAATTACACGTGTGTTTTTACAGTACTATCTCGGCTTGGTTGTTTGAAAGAGCGGAGACCTGAACGCACACATCCAATCAAAGAGCCGAGCTGGGCACTGGAGTCCGAACGCTATTAGTCACCACCAGTGTCAGTGCTGTCTCTTCAACAGCTACGGCCTATGAGCTGCTCCCTTTGAAAGATTTTCTTCAAAATATCAACACGTAACATATTTATTTAACCGTTTTGTTCATAAAGAAACTAACTCACTGTTCAGTCTAAGCATTGGCAAAAGTGTGATTAGAAATCTTGCTGTAGGACATGGTGAGGTAACAGCACTATTATTCTCATTATTTCTCATTTGTTTGATTTTTTTCCCCCATAAGGCCTTCAGCACAGTGGCCTTGGTGACACTGAGGGGAACTGCATTCAGTATTCATTTGGTTTCTTCTGTCATATTAAATCTCAGGTATGCGTAAGAGCATTATGAAGCTCATAATACTCTGTCTGTTTAACATCATTTAAGCTAGCACTCATCTCGTTTCAAGGACAGGTACAATAATTACTGCACAGAATTATAAAAACCAAAAAACAACATAAAAAAACATTGTTGTATAATGGGTATCTGCCAGGTCCAAAGGTCTGCATTTCATTAATCCTCAACAAATCACAACCATATTCAGAATCATGTAAAATGAGCTTTTTTCATATATAAGGACAGTGGATTCATGAGGTGCACACAAAATAATACCGCCAATATCTATATATTATGAATTTTTTCTGTATCATTTTCATATGAAAACACGTGTTTTTGATTAAGAGAAAAACAAAAAAGTAAGTCATTCATTGGTGTCATACATTTTTATCCAAATTCCAGCAGTAGGGATAAAATTATCCTAAAACTCATCGACTGAATGCAAACACTGTTCGGTGCAGCCTCTGAGACAAACTGCACATCATGGTTTTCTTATCCTAGAGTAATACAAAATTTTACTATGTACAATACGCATCATTATAACCTACTGTGTGTTTCTCTTCCCTGTTCTTTTTTTTGTTGTTGTTTGTAAGTGAGAGTCTAAAAAGAAAAAGAAAAACAGGTTGTTTTTTTTGGAATAATGGGGAAGGGTCGCAAGATATCACAGAGCTCCAGACAGACTCATTTTTTCAGGTTTGTTTCTGTTCCCATATTTCTGAGCTCCGCTTGCAATGACACTGATTGCAGAGGTATCTGCCTAACACTATATCTGTGTTTCAGCACAGTAGCATCAAATTTCAGCTCTAATCTCGTCGCAAAATCAACCATAGCAGTTTCCCTTTGAGTTTCACATGTGTTAGTTTGAAATTTATGTGTATATTTGGCAGATGCTTTGCGTGTTTCTCATTAATGCACTGGTTATAAACACTCAGTTAAATCTACGCTTTAAGTTAACATAATACATCTAAGGGAGTAAGAAGAAATACACCTCATGTCTTCAGTAGTCCTAGAGACAAATGATTGTTTTCTTGATGTCCCTGTGAGCCAGGCCACCTTCATTTTTATTCCCATGTAGACAACAAAAAAACAAACAACCCCCCACAACCCCCCTCCCAAAGGCCGACCCAGACCCAGAAGACAAGATATAGCAACAAAAGAAGTGCATACGAATCAAAAAGAACAATGCAATTCTTTAAAAAGCACTGTTTGCTTGTTCTGTCCTTCATTTTACTGTTTTTTGTTTTTTTGTTGTTGTTCCTAAAACATTTTACTCATAACCCATCG